TGCTGGTTTAATCCCAATAATGTACAAGTAGTTTTGCTTTAGTACACCGAATTTATTAAATACTAGTAGACCTCACAACCGTTAGTCTACATAAACCTCATTAATAAAATGCTTTCTTCAACACCTTTCGCTGGTTGGTTGAAAACTGTGTTCTGAAATACCATATATTTAAATTATAGACCTTCCGAATAGTTTTCTTAAACTTGCAGTTTTATGCATTCTGTAAAATTTTTTATTTTACATTATTTTAGTGTCGGCAACATTATTGCAAAAAATGATAAAACTGTGGCAACCCTCTACTATCATTAGCCAAATTTTTCCATTTAGTTACAATTTTTTTGCCATGAGAATAGAACATCTTCAGCTGGGAGCGACTGGCGACTTCTGAGCCTCACCGCTGCAACGACAGCCGCATATTTATTTAATAAAAAGCTACCATCTGTGAGAAGCTCTACAATTATCCGCACATCTTAGTCTGGATGATATTCAAATGCTTGACAGTGGTAAATATTTTTCGCTAACTTCACTGCTGGGAGTTTGCTCACGACCTACGCTGCCCAGCGGCATGACCGCAAAGTGCTGTGAATTATTTGTAGAATGGACAGATGGGACAATAGCAGACGAATTTACTATGACATGCTGAATGTTATTTTACGTATGTGGGTGTGAGATGATTTCAGCTTCAGCTGTCTGCTTCCGCCTCTCCTGCTCTTCACCTTCTGGGCATTTTTATTCTTAGCTGAAGGGTCCTCCATTACCATTTCAAGCGCTGTCCATTTGTGCGCTTGTTACCCAATTTTTTTAGGTTAAAATATTATATAATAAAGAAAAAGCGTAAACTTTTACAAAGGCAAAAAAAGCAAACAGAATAACTGTATTTGGGTCCATTTTCGAATCAGAAAAATACCATATTTGCTTACTTTGCTCGCTGACCACTTGCATTTACATTAAAAACGCTCCAAATAGAAATAACAATTTCCCTTTCGACAACGCTCGTTGTGTGCTTAAAGCAGCAATAAAAGTGGAAGTAGGTAAACAGTTTAGGCCTCGCAAGAGTCTGCTGAGACCAGTGCTTGAGGTATTGCGGATGTGTGGCGAATTTGATGTTCTACAAAAATGCCACTTACCTCGTGGCAAATGTGTAGTTGACGCCAAGCATTTGGCAATGCCAATACAAATTCGCCCCAGAACATGCAATGCGAGCGTGAATGCTCAGCCGCCGTCTGAAACGTTATCACCAACAACGATCCCATCGGAAACGTAAATTGTCATATGCTTATGTACCGTGTGAGTGTGCGTGGATATGTATGTATGGTGTGGGTATGGTTGTCGTAGAAATAGAGAAATAAGGAAATTGAGAAATTTATTAGTCCTCCGGGTATTTATGTTGCCATAAAAGAAAATATTAATGAAATTGACAACGACGAGTGCCGCAGATGGGGTGTCAGGAGGGATGTTAAAATAATATACTTCCACATGTGCAAGCTCGAGCGGAATAATTTGTGTAACCGACTACTGTGTGCAATGATAGTATATACTCCGTCAGGAATCCGAATTTAAAAGAATATAAAATTTTACATAATATTTTTGGTGTTATATATTATATAAGGACATGCCAATTTTACGTGTCTACTAACTAACGCTCCTTATTTCACGCGATTGTCTTATTAACTATAATATTGCATTTGCCCCTATAAATCAAATCAATCACTGAAATTAAAGTTTACTAATTGTAAAAATTTGTTAACTCTCAGTATCTTTATCGAAGTCAAGAGTTATACAGAAAAATATTTAAAATATTATATATCTAACTGTTGTTTGAGTAAGTTGCAGTTCTAATTTCAGATTAAACCTATTTATAAATGATCATAAGGATATAATGTCGTGGCTACTTTGCTCTCTTATCTAATTTTTTCCAAAAATCATCTACAGTGGGCATCCATTGTTCTAACATTGCCCACGACCGTAATGTTTTGAAACATATTTGTCTCCTACACAACACACCCGTTCACTTCTATAAATGGCATAAATTATGGCTTTCTATCACTACTTATTCAATAATCTTTTAGTAATTTCTCAACTTTTTACCCTAGTTGATTAACGTACTATCTTTTGGCAAAATAATGTCAAGTCCCTCTTAAAATTACTATTTTTAATATGATGACCCAAATTGTTGTGGAAGTTCTTAGTGTGAATTTTGTCAACAATAACCGTACTCTACTTCATCACAGAATTTCTTCAGTGTCCACACCGTTTTATCGTATACTGTATATTTGATAAGTGGAAAGTGAAAACTTGGTTTCCTTTTTGGTAGCAGAACATCCTCTCAGCCAATTTGTGCTTCTGAATTGTATATGCCTCTTTCTGCCGCAAATAACAAATGACCTTTAGGTTACCAATTCACTCCCCTATAGAAAGCAAAATAAATAAACGTATGTGCGATTCTGTGTATTTCCTTGGTTGTGTCGGAAATTAAGAGATGCCAAGTATTTCCTGCCTTTTGGTGTGTTGAAGGTGAATTTGACACAACCGTTAAATGTTGGCATGCTTCTGTGTTTGTGTTTGTGCTACACACGCTCAACGTGTTCAAACACAAAGCTTTGAAGCTGTGAGAGTATGAGAGGAACTGTGACTGTGTAGGTGAGCACAAAAGCGAAGAAACCCAATGAGAACTCTGTCAACTTAAATTTTAGGATTTCTTTCCCGCTATCGTTAAAAAGCATTGTTTATTTCTTTTATTTATAATACTAAAAGCATGGAAAGCTTGTACTATAATGTCCACAAATGAGAACACAAAATAAATAATAGTATAGTCATAAGTTATTTCGCACAGGGCATGTTTACCTCAGGTAAGTGTACATGTGATGGAAGTCGCGTCTACCAGCTGAGAAGACTTCTATTATTTTTGACTTGTGCAAGTGTGTGTAATTGCGTAAAAACGCTCCAGTAAGCTAATTGCTTAACTATTAATTTATGCGCATGTTATACTCGTGATAAAATTGGGTAATTTGCATAGAATATTAATAAGTTGATATTGCAATGAGTGCTTTGAAAACTGATATATGAGCATGCATTATTGTTTTCTGATTCAATAAATTAGGAAATAAATATTGGCATGTTTTCTTATCTGCAAATGTAAAATGCTACCAGATAAACAGAAATGTGGTATGGGAAAATTTTACTGTGCATTAAATTATATAGAAAACGGTTCCATTGTACAAAAGACGCTCGACACTTACGAGGCGTTACATAAAAAAATATTCTTGCGGCATATCCTCAACAGACACACTCCCACACGCACACGCATGAGCAAGCACTAAAATGTACTCTGTGAACAAATTGTTTCAAATGGTATAAACCATGTGCTAATAATATTAAAAGAAAACCGCGGAAGAATAAAAGAAAGCCTGAGTAAACCACGAAAAGACACACACACGCACACACACAAGTGGAAAGTTGTCGACACAGAACTGTGGCTTTTCCTGCAACCGTATTGCGCTCGCACGTTTTGCGGCTTACATAAGCTTAAAGAGCTACCAGTCTCCATTTTATTTCATAATTTCAATTGCTCCCGCTACTTCTATATTTATGGACGCATATATTTCTACCATTGCCTCGCTCGTAGCTTGATTGTGGCACCCTTAACTGCTGTCAATTTACTGCAAATTTCATTTCTTTTTTTTTCCTTTCTCTAATTTTTATACTCTCGCAACCTGTTGCTACAGAGTATAATAGTTTTGTTCACCTAACGGTTGTTTGTATCACCTAAAACTAATCGAGTTAGATATAGGGTTATATATATATAAATGATCAGGATGAAGAGACGAGTTGAAATCCGGGTGACTGTCTGTCCGTCCGTCCGTCTGTCCGTCCGTCCGTCTGTCCGTCCGTCCGTGCAAGCTCTAACTTGAGTAAAAATTGAGATATCTTTATGAAACTTGGTAGACATGTTTCATGGTACCGTGAGACGGTTGGTATTGCAGATGGGTGTAATCGGACCACTGCCACGCCCACAAAACGCCATTAATCAAAAACAAATAACTTGCCATAACTAAGCTCCGCAATAAGATACAAGACTGTTATTTGGTACACAGGATCACATTAGGGAGGGGCATCTGCAGTTAAAATTTTTGGGTGGGCGTGGTCCCGCCTCTAATAGGTTTAATGTGCATATCTCCTAAACCGCTAATGCTATAATAACAAAATTCACTGGAAGCAAATGTTTTTAGCACTTCTATTGACGGTGTGAAAATAGTTGAAATCGGGTGGCAACTCCGCCCACTCCCCATATAACGGTACTGTTAAAAACTACTAAAAGCGCGATAAATCAAGCACTAAACACGCCAGAGACATTAAATTTTATCTCTGAGATGGTATAAGATGACTTTATAGGAACCGCGTTCAAAATTAGTCAGTGGGCGTGGCACAGCACACTTTTAGGTGAAAACCCATATCTTGAGATCTCCTCAACCGATTTCAACCAAATTTGGTGCATAACGTTCTTTTCATGTTTCTATGTCATAGTGCGAAAATGGGTGAAATCGGACTACAACCACGCCTATTTCCCATATAACACCATTCTAAATTCCATCTGATTCTTTCACTTTCCACTATGCAAATCAGGTAACAATGATTATATCGGGGTAAAACTTTGCGTGAATAATGCAATTAAAGTATGCCACCTTGCGGCCAAAAATTGTCTAAATCGAACCCAAACTGTTCAAACCCCTAAGTACTAAATATGTGGACCCCAGTGCCTATAGTTGACCTTCTACCGAAAATATCAGTCAATCCACAAAGAAACGAGTATACCATTTGACTTTGCGAGAGTATAAAATGTTCGGTTACATCCGAACTTAGCCCTTCCTTACTTGTTTTTTTTATTTTGCTGGAAAGACAGTTGAGAATTTCCAAAATATTTTCAGTTTCTTTTGCTTTTGTAATATAAATAAATGTTGAAACTATATTTTACACACACACACACACAGGTTGGCAATTCATTTTCTTTTCTCTGCTGCTGGAATTTATATTTAATTCAATTTTTTTAATTGGTGTAACAGTAACCTCAAAGTACTGTGAAATTTATAAATTTTATGCGTAAGTTGCAGAGGCCCCGCAAGCTTTAGTGCCATAAAAATTTAAATAAACACCGAAATAATTGAAAAATTGAACGGAATTGAAATTGATCAAAAATAGTAAGAAAACATATGAACCTTTTACTTCCTCTATTGCTTTGATTCTGGAGGAAGAAACCCCAGCATTTTCAGTTCCCTCTAGCCAGTTTTTTATAGGCCTAAACCTAAGTTTAGTACTTTTGTTCCAGTTTCTTTCTGTATGGTCTAGTGGGCACTTAAGTTCAACCTAATACTTGTAGCACTCACAATCATAATTAATTTATATTTCTGTAGGTTGGTTTAAATCCCAGTTGGAACACTGGTGTATAGAACTTCGTAAAGTTTCATTACTTCTGCTATTTCATCTGAAGTGAAATATTACTTTTATCTTGATGCTTTTGTTTCTCGAAGGTATTCAGGTGGCTTCTTTGCTGTTTTTACTTACCATTTGTGAGTCGTGAGTCGTGAATGAATTAAAAGTAATAGATAGTATATTTTAAAATAAGAGTCTCTTAGTTTGTTACTTTTATACTCTCACTTCATATCGGTACTTCCACCGAATTCAATGTAGCTCAATGAATCCAGCGAAGAAAGCGCAATGTGTGTCGGTGCACCACATGCTTCCATGAACTGTGAAACTTTTACGATTTCGCACAGATTTTAAATCAAAAAAGGGTTAATCAGAAATTCTGGGAAATGCAGCTTATCTACCAATCAAATTTAGGTTATTTATCAACTTGCAACACACACACACACAGTTCACTCACGTGATACATGCAAATCAAAGTGCAACACTGCACAACAATCTGCTGGAAATGAATAGTTATGCTCTCGCTTTTGACTACAGTTGTTACAAATGCAAGCATTTGCGAAAAATTACAGCTCGTCAATTTTTAGAGTGCGCACCAGCCAGCAGTCAACAGCCACCGTGCACTAGCCATAGTAGCCGGCAACGGACGTAAACTATTCATTCATTTAGTGCATTTGCAACAGCTGCTTGCTTTTGATTAGTTGCTGCAAGTGCTACAAATTGGTACATGACTGAGCATTTGTTGCAACTGCGAGTACATGATGTACAATCCATACAGCAACTGCTGCTAGTGACTGACCGCTCGTCGTTGCTGTGCCAGAGGGAGCGCGCCCGGCTGACTGGCAGATCGCTCAAGAAGCAATTGGTTTTTGTTGTTTATTGAATTTCACTGGCAAATAAAGAGTGGAGCCATTCAAATCCAATACAGTAAATTTGTAGTGTTTCTTCTCTCGGCAATGTTTGGTGATGACTTTTGACTCATTACTTTTCTCTCGTTTTTTATTTCTTCTTGATTATTCACAAGCGTTCTTTCTTTACCATTTATGAAGGACTGTTTGCTTATTTTTATCTTCAGCTTTCTTGTCTTATCTGGTTTTGTATTCATTTGGCCATATTTCTGCTCTATTTCACTTGATTTGAATATAGTTGTAAAAAAATCTTTTAATCTGCGGTCCGGTTTCCAATTGTGACATAAGCATTTACTTTTTCTTTGTTTGAATTTTATATTTTAGTTTGAAAATTATTATATTAAAATTTCGATTGACAAGATAATCCACATTCAATAAATAAATAGAAAATGAAAATTGTGTTTCAATGATTATATAATAAAATCAGCCAATGCTGTAAGGCTATGTACATAGTGCAACAGTCAACAGCACAAATTGAATGGTCAGCGGGAATCATATATCAAAGCGTACGCCTCTCAGTTGTTCTGCACTCGGTTCTTTAACCTATGCAGCGATTGAACATGCCCATTAAATCGACAGTTTTCTGTTTTTTGCCTTACACTTCGCTATGTGTGCAACCTGAGTGATATGAAGAGCAGCACACCCTAGACGAGAGACGAGTTAAATTTAAGTTGATGCAACTAATATGCTTAAAGCTTTTTTTGTTATTGTTATTGCTATGCAACAACACTATATAAAAAAGCAGCGAATGACATGTTTTCACTGAATTTATTACGAAAATTAAATCGCATAATTTACAAGCAGTCCGCAAAAAATCGTAAAAAGTCGGCAACGTATAAACTCAACTGGGATTTTTACAAATTATTTTGATTTTTTCCATTCTTTTTTTTCTGCGATTTCTTTATATCTGGCTGTGTGCCGTTCATTTTACTTTTTTGTGTTTTTTTATGATTCCATTTGTGTTTTTTTATGATTCCATCAATGAGTTGCATTCACACACTGTTACTGCAACATGCAACAAAGATCCTCATTTCTGATGTGCTGCAACTACTGTGTCATGCGGCAATCAACAGGGGCACCACAGATCTAAATGAATTCAATTACGAGAAGCACGCTAGAAAACGAAAAGAGAAATACACATAAAGGAACGAATCTCAAGAAAACGCAAGGAAAATAATTGCGTTGATGAAAGAAGTATTCTAGGAAATCAACGACAGAGCAACACTGCTACTATAATGAAAATGAGTGGAGTTCGAAAAAGCGAAAAACTGCTAATTACATACATAAAGCTTGATAAAAGGTGAAATGTTGTTTTTGTTGTTGCTGACAACAACAACTTATTCCACCACGATTCGAACAACAATATTTGACCTGTTTGGCAATCATTTGATATGATTATTATTATGAAATTTAAAACATGAACTATTTTAAATATAAAATGCATTTTGAACTTAATATAATTTTCAAATTAAATGAGCGACAATTACAGGGTAAGCTATAGTTTTCGAAATACACTTGAAAGCAAATATCTGTTAATTTTTAAACATCTTAAGCCAAAACAGCATATATTATATGTATATTTTCTTAATTCACCTCATTTTTTTTTTTTTTTTGCTTACAGGTATGTCACTCGAGCAAAATTCTACGAAACACAAATGGATAAGTATAAATATGAATGTCACTCTGCTCCTACGAAAGAGGGAAGTGAATCTTTTCGCGTTTTTGTTATGTAAGAAATTTTAATTATTTTTAACACTGACATTTGTAATAACTTTCGTCAATGCCTCTTTATATACTATTTTTACATAATAGCATTCTGATCAGTATCAGTACTTATCAATGGCGTAATATCTTTAATAAAAATTAGTAATCAATAGTGTAAACCTCAGATGACAATACTACTCAAAACCAAAACGGTTAAAGTTATCAGAGATCCTTCATCAACTGTTTAAACTCAATAAAGAATCTTTAAACACTTACCGCTATTGTCACACGAAATGAGGTTGTTTTTACTTGTACAACTCAATACAAGTGCGTGCGTGTCTGTTCGTATGTTATCTATTTTATGTGATATGAGTTTCTCTTCAAATATATTTTTGTGTCTATCCATTTAGTTTACAATTACTGTAATCTCATGCTACATACAATACATACATACTTGTATGTATGGTATGCATCTCTTTCACTTTCACTCGGAGCTTCACTTTGGGGCAATCAAAAACAGATAAAAACAAGAAGAAACGTTAACTTCGGTTGCACCGAAGATATAATATCCTTCACAAAAGCAAAAGGCTCCTTACAAGAACTTGATTCCGATCGTTTAGTTTGTATAACAGTTACATGCTTTAGTGATCCGATCTGAATAATTTCTTCGGAGATTGTATTATTATTTTTGATAATAATACATGCCAAATTTCGTGAAAATATGTCGCCAAACGACAAATTTTCCATGCAGCTATACGCTATAGTGATCTGATATCGACAGTTCCGACAAATGAGCAGCTTGTTGCGGAGAAAAGGACGTGTGCAAAAGTTCTGTCCAAAAAACTGAGAGACTAGTTTATATATATATATATATATAACTCCGCCGTTTCCTTGTGAGTGTTACAAACTTCGTGGCAAACTTAATAAAACCTGTTCAGGGTATAAAAATAGATGATTACAGAAAATAACTACAGAAGCCACGAGTAACAGTTGCAGGAAACTTCACAGCAGAACCGGAAAATGTCCCATTAAAACAAACTTAAAGGAGAAGAAAAAGCAAATATGCGAAGGGTATGGATGAATAAAGTTTTTGGGTGCGTTATGTGAAGACATTGCATACCTTGAGGCATATATAATATATATATACTTGTACGTGTTGGCAACTCCGCACGCCTGCGTGTCGCTGCAGAATCGACGAAATTGATTGCTAAATACGGAACGTGCTGGCACTTGCGAAGCGAACAACACTCAAAATACAAACAACAACAAGAACAAAGTTCATGTAAAACCAATCGGAGTGCGAATAGCATGACGGCAAGTGACTAAGTTCTTATAATGCTTGAAAATGACGTAAAAAATAGTGCAATATTCGAGAAGGTGATGTTTTGAAAGGCGTAGAGCTTAACACAAGCTTCTCATGTGTACATTCGTTATCAAATGTTAGAAGTGTGTGGGTAAACAGGTAGGTGTAAAGTTGGCGAGTGTGGCAGACAAGCAAGCAAGTTTTTCTGCAAATAAGGAATAAGTTGCGAGGTGCAGCCCCCTCATGTGTTGAAATCACAGGCAGAAAATTAAATCGCACCACCACGACAGCGCACCGGGCTTATAAGCGTTTGCTGTCATAAGCGATTGCGGATTGCAGCGCATATGATCACAAGTGTTTGTGTGAGCATTTTAGAGCACTGCCGATTCAATTGAACACTCTGCGGCGACATAGCATGCTATTCATTTCATATGCACAGCGCGTCCCTTCGTCGTTGCCTTTGTGGTTTTCCCTCCCTTCGCTGTCACAACGTGTTGAAAGTAAATTTCGTGATTCGGTGGCGGTATGCGTGTCTTACCAGTGCACGTGCTGAGCACTGCTGATACCAGCAGTTGTTTGCGAAAACTTGCCTCTCACAATCAGTGTGGTTCCTTTCACATGCAGTGACGCCAAACAATTCTATCGAAATTGCATTTATCAGTGCGCCTGTATAGTCCCGCCTGAGTGTGCTTCTCGACCGCTGAATCGTACATATATATGTGAGGGTGTGTGTGTTTCTGTGCCACTTGTAAGTCGGTTTCAACACATTATGAAATGTGCAGGGCATACTCAAGAGATGGGTCCTTCACTTTGAGGATACTGCTCTCCTGGCAACTGCCTGACCGTGACACCGTGCTCATATGCCGGCGTGTTGGGAGTTTTCATTATAGTGTTGCAACTTATTTTGATACTTTATACGAGAACGCTGTTGCCTAACGTACTCATATGTGGGAATATGCTTTTATGCCAATTCATACGATGTGCCAGTTTCACCACGTTTCAGATGCCGCACAATGCTGCATTGCCGCAGCTCATCATAACCGCCTCTCAACATTCGAGTATTTACTTTGCTCTCAACGCACTTATAACTTTTCATTCTCCCATCGGCTTTTTTCATTACTCGCAACCCCTCAGCCACAATGATTTTGCTGATTTTCAATATATACTAGTAGTATAGTTTATTTGTAATCAATTTCTCGATAAAATTGTCAATAATTACCGAGGAAAGCTATCCACCAAACTTTTTTCCGTTTTAAGGTCTTCCTTAAATATTTAGAGACTTGTTATTTTTTCATCACCCGACGAGTGTTAGGTGATCCAAGGGTTTCCACTACAGATTTCGTTAGAATTTTTGATCTTTTGAAGAGTTTCACAAACAGAGTTTCTTAGAACAGAAATAATAATTTTTTTGTAATTATATCCAATAATTTCATAGAACATTTTCTCAATCAACCATCAATTTTCGAACATTCCTCCAAAGCATTTCCAGAATAACATACTAACATAACATTAAATTTGGATATTGAATATCCAAATAGTTCAAAGTATTGCTAGCTATCGCTGGCAGCGACAGTGTATGTGTGTGAGTTCGTGGGTGTGTGAACGATTTCTAATGATGCTCTCAATGCTAACAAGCAGTTCAATTGGAAAGTTTCCGAAACAATAGTTCTAAATTATAAATTTCGTAACAGTGAAGATGAAAGGCACAAGGTGGATTTGGGGGATAAATGCCCTCGCTTTGCCACACTCGGTTGCAACTGCAATTTTCACACTTTTCCCTAGAAATTTTGTCACTATTTGGGATATTGGAAAGAGCAGCAAATATCAACAACAACTACAGCAAAGTACAATACTAAAAGCAAAACCGTGAAAACAACGCTGCACAAAATGAATTTACTAACAACAACAATAATATTGTAGCAAAACCAAAAAAGATAAAAGTTGTGTTGCAAAGACAAATATCAAACAGCAATAAAACGCCCGGAAAACAAGCAAGCAAATAAACGAAGCAGGAATGTAAACAAGCTTTATACTGCCGCCGGAAGGCCAGGTGTGCCGGCAGAGGCACAGACGGCGGCGACGGTAACAACGACAGCATCAGTGAAAATAAGCTGGGCGGGTTACAGGTCAGCAGTAGCGGCGGCGGCGCAGGAGGGCGCGGAAGCAGTTCCATGAAACCGGTTGCAATTTAAGTCAATGAAAAACAATGCAAGGAATCGAAAAATACCGTTGCTTGTTATCCTTTGCACATACTGAAGTGTATATTTGTTGCTGTTAGTGTAAAAAAAACAAGAGAAATAAATCAACAAAACGCTCCGTTGTACACATGCAATTCATGGCGAATTGCAGTTAAAGCCCATCAC